AAAGGCAATAAAAGCCCCAAAAAATACTTAAAAAAAAAAAAAAATGGCTCATCCTAAAGTAATAAAAACACAACAATTCTTATTTTCAGGTGAGTATACACTAATGGAAACATACCTACATTACATTTCTGCCAATAGGTCCTCCTAAATGTTAAACACTGGACCTTTAAGACTACAAATTGTCAGTGCTATGAGGAATTGAAGCTAATTAACAGAACCAAAATGAAGATGCAAAGTTACATACATCTTACGTACTTGAAAATAAAAAAAGAAATATGGCATTTATCTTGTTTGCCTTGCAAATTTGTCTTAATATCAACATTAATGTCTGTATTTAAGACATTTACACTATTGAAGGTCTTAGGTTTAGACAATTTATGACATGTTCAGATCTTTTAAGGATCTCCAGACCCAGTAGTACTTATTAAAATTAGTCATTGATGAGCAGTGTAATATTGATGCGAAATGGGAATATCATGTATTCACACAGGTCTGCTTCATCTACACTCAGATCATGTTTTACAGAGAACATTTTTTACAGTCTACTAGGAATGTATTTTTAATGTGAGCATGTGATTATTAATACATATATTCAACATCAAAGCATCATACAATAACCATTACACCCCCAAACACAGAGAGGAAGGTAGGGGAACAGGAGGGGGAAACTGTAAGTTACAGTTTGATGTACATGTTGTGCTCACTTTGTTAGTGTTAAGCAACAACATATCCCAGGAGCCTTAGCCATTGGCAAACTGCCAACACCTCATGAGAGCTGCAGTTTTAATATGCTAACACTATATTTGTTTTATTTTTGTCAAAACAACAAGGTGCTGAAAATTTAGATAACAATTTAGCTTGCAGACAGAAAACCCCATAAACACATTTGAGCTTGTCAGAAAGACTGATGAAGACACCCCTGCTGAGAAAACCCATGGAGTTATGGAGCGAGTGGAACAATTAGGGAAAAGGGGGAAGACTTTGGCTTTATATGGGGATCCTCTTCATACAAAGGTCAATGCACTAAACTCACAAATTACGCATTTTTAGCTAAAAACCCTACTTACATTACAATGAGATAAAGCTGCAACAAATTAAAGTGAATTTCTCTTTATTCTTTTAGACCTTTAGTTTCACTATGCAATAACTCTGAACTAATAACAAATAACCTCTATTTGCTTCATCAACACTACAATTAAACAAAACAAAGGACTTTCTTTCAGCCTCGTTGGATCATCAAATGGTAAAAAAGAACATACACAAATTCAAGCACCGCTGCTTCAATAGGGACTACATTGCTTTCTAAAGTTTCCAAAGTAAAAACAGCAGCATAAGGCTATGAGGCCTATAAATAAAGATGTATAAATCACACATTCAGGTTGTGTACTTAACATTGCAGCACCATTTCTGATCAGCTGACCAGCTCTCTGTGATAAAAATGGCTTTGTGCCGGTTTGTGATCAGTCGTGCTGCATTTTACAGATTCCACACGAGTGAATGCTTGAAAGATTGTTGGATCAGACTTACATGGTAAGATTAAATTCCTTTCAAACAGCCATGCAGGGTATTAGGATAGTAGGGGCTTTTACAGAGCAAAGAGGCAGCTACTGTACCATGTCAAATCGGTGCTTAGGAGAGTGACAGTGGAAGGAGTATAGCAGCGCTACAGCTGTTCTGATCATGTCTTTTCTAAGAGTTTGGTGAAGCTTCTGGGTATTGTGGTAGGTTTCATGGAGACACATGTCTGTTGATTAAGCAAATTCAGTAGTTGAAACTTCCATAAATGCTGATATCATTGCTTTACCGGTATCTTCAGCCTAGCTAATAAGAGAGAAGCTGAAACCAACAGAATTGAATTGGATGGTTAACATTTAAGGCTAAACCATGTCAGTAGGTAAGAAAGCTTTAGGGCCAATGAATTCTAGAAAAAGGAGTGCTGGAATACAGGTTAGGGAATTGTAAGTCCACAGAAAATATTTTAATACAACTGTAATTATCGAAAATTGGTTATTACCATACTGGTTTAGTGCCAGTGTTATTTCCCTTTTTATTGATAAAGTCTTAATAAAAACAAAGATCACAGGTGTGTTCCTGGTTATTCTGAAATAACTTTCCTCAGGGCAAACATTTTCAGGCTCAAAAAGTTATGAGTGTGAAATAAAGTTCTTGTGGGAGGTAAGGCTCAAACAAACATTGCGGATTGAACCAATTCAGCCTTCAATTGCAATAACTCTTGCACAGAATGTATCGCTCGATGACAACAAATTAGTTTTGCTTCCCTGGTTCCCAGCTTTCTTTTCATGTTCACAAATATTGATGAAACTGTCCATGAAGATAGGAATTCTGTTTGGAGTGCTGCAGCGAATTATCATTAATTGTTGGGTGCAACAAACCAACAAAGCCTTTAAAATTAGAAATGTACTCAAGAGGTGGGGGGGTCAGTGAGGGAAAGAATTGGGGGAATAAGACAATAAGGACAGCAGGAGAGGAGGACAAGAAATACAGCAGGGGAAATACAAAACTTTAGGAATAAATGACATACTGTAGAAACAGAAGAAATTTCAAGCTAAAGCTCTATTAGTTGCATAGTGGAGGTGAACAGATATAATATAAAAGTAGTAAAGCAGCACTATTGAAAGTAACTCAGTCCATAGGAGATGGAGAGGAGTCAAAAAACTTGTCATCTTAAAAAAAGCATGTCCAACATGAGAAAGCAGGAAGATAAATACCATTCCAAAATTAAGTTTAAAAAATGTGTTTTTTCCTTTCTACTGATGTTGATATTTATATATTTATATATATTATAACAGTTTGACAAATGTATTTTTATAATTCTGTCTATTCACAGGTTTCTTTTGTGCATATGGATCTTTAGGCTAATTGCTCATCTCATCATTATATGTCTGTGTTATTGGTTGACCAGTTAACCCATTAATGTCCGCAGTGGAATTTTAGTTTCCTTTACAGCACTTAAAGCTGCAGCAGGTAACTTGAACATACGCAATGCCATGTTTCTCTCTGCTACTCGTATCACCATCTCTCTGTCTCCTGTCTGTCTCTTTGTGTCTGTGTGTGGGCGTGGGGATCTTCACTCTCTCTCTTTGGGATCCCTGTCTGTAATCCAGTAAACCTGACTCGTGATTCGTCTTCTCAAAGACACCCCTCCAGTGCTCCGTGGCCCCAGGAAAGAGCGCCACAGGCTTCAGAGGCAGCTGCAAAGTGCGACACATCTAACAGCAGGATTAGAGGATGGCCCGGATATCCTTTTTGACTGCTTCATCAACACTCTTCAGCAGAGATTTCTCCAGGAGCGGAGCACTGTATTATTGGACTGTCACACCAACCTCTAATAACACAAAAAAGGAAATGCTTTGTGCCAGTGAAAGACGCGTGGCTAGTAGCTAACATTACACCGCTGTCTCCCCTCAAAAGTTATTCCCCACTGTGGGACATGTTCACACACACATTCTGTAATAAACGCTGTTTTTAGCTAAAGAGGGATGGGCAGTTTTTTTATTGCTGATGTTTTTTTCTGTGTTTACAAAGCTCCTCCTGAAGCAAAAGCATAAGAGAGGTAA